ATTTATAAACATAAGTATAGTCATTTAAAGTTAAATCTTGATGTCCCCAAGTCATGTTAAATTAATTTTAAAAATATAGTTAATTGAGAACAAATAAAATTTAGTTTATTTCTTTTCAAAGAAAATTTTCTTCCCCTCAAACTTAAGTTTTTAAGTAATTTTAAAAATGTTTTAGCACAAAATATTGTAAGTGAAAGAAAATAGTAAATGCATGAAAATAAAAACTAACCTGTAGAGGATTTCTGATTATGAAACTAGGCTCTGGTATACTGCAGGTACTAACTTTAAAAACATGTAGGCATTACAGTATTAAATGAAACATAATATATTCTAAAGAATTTGTTAAGAATTAAAAGCAGAAATACAAAAATGAAAAATAAAACTGAAAATACTAAAATGCAGAAAGAGGTACAAGTCTACAGTTACTATTACAATTATGTCCACAACACAAAATGAAAGTTTTTACGACAAAGATTCTCAAATGAAAATACAACACATTTCAATCACAAATAACAAACAAACATAAAAACAAACTACATTAGACTCATAAAAGTATCAGTCTTCATCTCATTCCTCATCATCATCATCTTCTTCTTCTACTTCTTCCTCAACTTCATCCCGAATAGGAGCATAGGGAGTAAAACTGGGGCAAGGAAAATATTCCACATTGGGCTCTCCCCTAAGATGTCTCACCAAGGTATTCTGAAAATCAATATCATGTTGAACTCTCTTATGTTGATATTCATCATTATAAGCATTTCTTGCTCCAATCTTTCCCATCTGACCCTGAATATTAATTATGTCCATTTTTTGAATCATGAGTTGGTCCATAATGTTTTATGATGATGCAGAGCAAGAAGTAAGTGCTCCTGTAGCTAACGTAGAGTGTCTATCCCTTCTTCCCCCTCTAGATTCAACAAATGATTCAACTCTTTGAACCATATGCCTCCCAATAGGATTCTGTGGTTGTAATATTTCTTCATTTCTATTTCTTCATTTCTATGGTTTCTATGGACTCTACTCCTGATTGTTCACATAAGGTGGAAATCAAGGCGGGATATCCTAAACCACTAGCTGTAGATCTACCAACTATACTTTAATCATGATAAACTATAAGTGAACCAACATCTATTGCTTTCATGTTCTGAATGCAATAGTTCAACAAAACTCAATCTTTCATAACATCAATAAGATGATTCGTTGGCAATAATATAGCAGAAATAAAGTGTTGTCGTACCTTTGACTGGCTAGTCAACATGGAAGCGAGGAAATTAACTATCTTGTTGTTATTAATCTTCCACTCTCCTCCTCCATCGGAAAAAAGGCAAGCACTTCATTCAGTGATGAATCAGTTATCACAAATGCAGCATCTTCATTGAAAAATACATTGCTTAGCCCATAACCATCATTGATTTGATCAGCAGTAAATTCAACTTGTTTACCTCTAACGAGAATGTCATCGCCCCAAGTAAATCTCATGTTAGCATAGAACTCCCGAATCATGGGGACAATCGCTTCTGCAATGAAGTACCAGAACCGTTCCCAATTTCTAGCAAGAATCAACCTCTCGATCTCGGCACCCAGGTTAGGCACCCAAGTTAGCAAATGCTTGTTCATGAATCAATCTTTTGGTTTCCATTTGAGTATTGCAAATAGGTTAGGCCTTGAAGTTAATGAATCTTCTTGAATCAAAATCTTCAGAAGACCTACCTCTCTTAACTCGGGGAGCCATTAGAAATTCTATCAAAATCTAAATAAATTTCAAACAAATTACTAAATCAAAAATCTAACTCCTCACCTAAAATTATTTGGTAAGAAACTTTTCACCATGAGTTTTCTTCAAGCTTTTTCATTAAAAATCCCAAATTTCGGATCTTCCATTTCGGATCTTCCACCAAATTTCGGATCTTCCATATTATAGGAAAAATCCATGGTGAAAATAAAAAATTTCTAATTTAAAGTGAAGCTCTTACCAAGATAAGATGAAATTTATGATTTTTGGCATCCAAAATCTTCTCTATTGTTCTGAATAAGAAGCCCTAGGTCAAGGTTTAGAGATAGGAGACGACCCAAGCAGTGAAAATGGAGCTTGTCCATGTGATTTCATGATTTTTTAGGTGATCTGGCGTGTTTGGGTCTTTGACGCATCATACGCCAAATCTGGTCCATCATGCGCTAGCGCTTTGTAAATTGGCGCATAATGCGCCAGAGCTTAAATTCACCAGATTTCGATTTCTATGAAAATCAACTCCGTACCATATCACGTCTACCTCTATTTAACTCAAATAAAAATTTCTAAGCATATATAAACATCATTCTAACACCAAACTTTCACAAACAACACAAAACAAACATTTATATATAAAATTTGTGCTATTACAAATTAATACTTTTCAAGCCAACAAACATCAAATTCAGTATTCTAAAGCAAACAAAAATCAGTATTCTAAAGCAAACCAACATTCTAACACTGAAATCTTAACATCAAAATTTAAAGTATAAACATAGATAGTGCAATAATATAAAGGAAATGCAATCCAAATCAACAAATTAAAATAAGTTGTACTAAACAAAACGTTCTGTGCATAAATTAAGTTCAAACATCTTCTTCACTCTCGTACTCCTGGATTTCTCGAAAGTGTGTGACATGCTGATAGGGGTTTTCAGTCCCATCAAACACCTTGAAAAGCAAAGGTACAAGGCCCTTAAGATATTGAACTTAATCAAATTCCTCTAAGGTAGGATCTACTCCTCAGAACCATTGATCCACCCCTTACCTAGGCCATCGTTTCCTTGACATTTTGCCCAACTAATTGAGTGATGTCTTTTTCAAGGATCCCGCTTTGGGTGGAATTATTTTTTTTCTTTTTATTTTCTATCTCTTCCTCTGTTGATTTTCACTTATTATCGAGAGTGTGGACTAACTCTGGTCGGTTGAACTCAGCAGATGGCGACTATGTCATTTGTGGAAAGCTATGCAAAGTTGCTAACACGATCATCATTTTTTCAACTTTCTTCTTGAAATGATTGATTTTCTCATCTCACTGTTGTATGATCCTTTACAGCTCTTCTGTCAATTACTCATTGCTTTGTGTTGGCATTTCTCGTGTAGATGAGGTAGCTCAAGTCTCCATTTGTTTATTTATACAAACCCCCTCCTCTATGTCATCAAGAGGGTCTCTTTTTCTATCTACCAGCAACTGTCTGACATCGACTCTTAACTTTTTCAATCTTTCTTCTATTGAAGGGGTTTCTTCTTGGAGAGTGTCAACTAGAATGATAGACTGCGTACCCACAACATTAGATACATTCTCTGATGGGCTACGTCTCCATACATTCTTTTTTATATGAGATTGGATACCTTCGGAGGCATTTCATCGTGCTATGAACGAGTGCGATCCCTACCTCGTAACATCCGCAGCACTCGAAGCATTGCTATTTACATAATTACTATTTGGATGATGCTTTAAACTATCGAACCGATGCATTTATACAGTGTAATATCAAACAAAAGAAAAAAAACATGTGTTCCAATTTTTTCGTGAATTTTGATAATTGTGCGAGAATAAGAAAAATGAATGAAAAGGGTGTTAGATTTATAATTAATGAAGTTTGAAGAGACATTTATGTAATTGCCCATATTTTTTTGTAGTGAAAAACTTTCTAATGAACTACTGGAAGCACCCCTATCGTGATAGAATCAATTGCCCGTGGTGAGAGCTTTGCCTAAATGACCGCCTAACAATCTCAATGATTTAAGTGATGAAATTATGGAACAGTTCCTTTTTTTTTTTATTTTATCGCCATTTTAACGCCAAGGCAAACTTGATTCATGTGATCTTGAATTCTTTTGAAATCATTTTGTTAATATGCTCATTTGATTTTGATTTATAAAGATATAGAATCTACATTTCATTCAACCTTTCAAATAATTTAAAAGGTATTATTTATAGGTTGAGCTCACTTCTCAATATCTTTTTGACAGATTTGGATGATTGGATATCAGAGCATCTACCCCATCGCAACGCATCGTCTCAATCATAAATTTATTAGACTGAATCTAGATGTCCTAAAACATTTATTTGAAACTTATAAATTGAATTAAAAATGATTTCTCATCCATTAAATGAGTGAAAATCCCCACATGATCTAGTTGATTTTCAATTAGACATTTAAACAAAGATCCTACCAAATTAATGTCATGCATAAAACCTGCTTCCAAATTTATTTTGAGCAGAACATAACTCTCCTTTCATGAAAAAAACTAATAATCAATGAAGCATGGGAAGACAATAATATATTATAGGAAAATTTACATGCATGCCACCAAATTATTATGAATTTACATATCCAATAGCCAAAGTTTGATATTTGTACTTAAAAAAATTGTCATAAAATATTTTGTGATAAAAACATACTCAATTTTAAAGTGGTATTTTTTATATGACATGAAGGATGGGTGGTATGTATATTAATATGAGTATTTAGGTGGTGATCTAAATAAATAAGAATTGTTTGATGTGCATGAAAATGCCCCAACCGAATATTGGTCCATCATACAGATTTAATTTGATTCATTTTTTTGTTATTTTAGCGATAAAGGACCAAAATAATATTCATCACTATGATTTACCCCCCTCTTGATTAAACCCCATATGCCTAATTGAACATGTTATAAGGAATCATATCAACAAAAATATAGTTTTTTTCCCAAAATGAGTTTCGCCAAAGCTGTCCCTCCCATGAGTCATGGCAGTGTGCATTGGAAATATAAAATTTTCAGATCAAGATGAGACTTAAAATAAAAAATAAGTACCAAAAAAGTATTTATAATAGGAGAGATTCTCTCTCAGAACCTTATAAACGCAAATTACTAAGCTGGAACCCACATCTTCTCTCAGATTCATATAGATTTTGTCCTATTCCATCAATGTTCTCCATGGTACACACATTCATCATTAAAAAAAAAAATAAACAGTGCATTTCCAAAGCCATGCAAATGTCATACGAGATACCTTTGCTCAATCATAGAGAGTCACATGACTTCCAAGACTTTTACATGCTTTTTCACGCCAAATTTAATGGTGAAATGAATAACTCATTAAAAGTGAAGTTATGATATAAAGAAGATTACAACAGAATGCATACCTTAATTCCATTCACGGCTCATTATTTAAATGCCTCCAACCTCTCATTTATTTCAAGGCTTATCAAGCATATCACTGCTATCAGCTATTCGAGAGCCCATTTTTCCTATGGTTGCCATTGTGGAAGGCAAGCCTTTAAAGCTGCTGCTGCCTTCTGTTAAGTTACGAGACCGCCTTGCTTTGCTCGGACTTAAAAAGCTTTTGGCGGCGACCAGTCGAATAATGTTGCTCCGACAGAAAGGGCAGACTGGTGGAGTTTGGGAAGAAGTTGCAGGATTGGGTCTGTTGTGGCAGCAGAGAGCTAGAGTGCAGTGAGCGCACATCTGGTGCCCGCAATCCTGAACTTCAATTGTGCAGGCTTGATCAAAGCATATGCAGCAGAGCTCATATTCATTGATCTGAAATATAAATTCAATCTTTTAGGACTGGCGCAATCAGTGAAATATGTTTATCTGTTTTAGGAAGTTCAATCAACAACATAAAATTGAAATCCTTTTACAGTTAGTAACATTAGAAACAGAAAAATTAAAAGGCTGCTTCATTTTTTATATTTTTTATCTCCATTAATTATTTTTAATTTCTTCATGTTTTATTTGAAATAATTTGGTTATTATAGAAACGTTCAAAACTCCATTTCGATGTTAACAAGGGTTTTAAAAATAAAAAAAATGACTACGTCAATATAGGGTGGTTTGAGAAATTCCTAATAAACTATATATAATATGAAAATTTTAACATTAAATTTGTTTCAAGTCATATATATATTATAAAAATTGTCTCTTACAGGTCTAGGATGAATTCATTCGGTCTCTCTTATATAAAATCAAAACTCCATCACTATCATATATGTAATGGCTCCATTTGGTTTGAAGGAATTGAAATAAAAGGAATTAAAGAAAAAAAAAAGAGGAACACTTCTTGTTGAGGAGAATAGTAGAAACTAAACTTCTCCATTTTGCGATTGGACCAAGAAAATAATCAATGAATTGAAAAGGAAAACATCCTTAACGTTATTCATATTTTTTCAAATAATTAAAATATAATTATAAGGAGGACAGTATTTGCTTTCTGCATAAGAGGATACTAATATATCGTGAAATAATACCTCAGACGTGTAGTCATCATGATCTTCATAGTCATCATTTATCTCAGCTTCACGATGGATAGGAGAAGCAAAGGAATAAGCTGTGCCTCTCAGGATATTCTTCTCCCTTGCTCGGTTGGCCTCCACGAGAGCTTCCTCAAGCAAAGCTTTTGCATCAGGGTTTAGTTCACTAATAAACTTCAACGGAGAAGGCCAAACCAGAGGCTCTGCTGATCCTGGATTCAGCAGAGCAGCACAAGCTCCATGCTTTCGCTTCAATGCAACAAAATAGGGTATTCTCCTGGAAATTATAAATAACCACAAGAAATTTATTTCAAATAGAGAACCAGTTCTGCTAGAACAATAAAAAAAGTGATGAACCCATGCGAAGGTTAAAAATTATTATCAGATCTATAATTTGAAAATCTTTAAATGGAGGATTGAAGGGGAGACTCTAACGAGTGAATCAACGGAGAACAAATGATCAAAAGTGCTTTCAGTTTTGAGCTAAAAGCTCATGCTTATGACCATTTGGTATGTACAAATCAATGAAATTTTCAATGAAAAAAATCAAGTGAGAATATATAGACCAAAATTTGATCATGATGAGTTAAATTATTAAGATTTATTTTGAAATAAGTGCAACACTAAAATAAATTGACTATGCTGAACCTCACCTCAAAACAAATCTAATGTTTTTAAACCCTTGAAGATATCATGATCAAATTTTTCTTCTTTTTTAATTATTTGATGTACTAAAGATTCATTTAGGGTGGCTGCAACGACTAATGAAAATGCAATATTTTTTTTTTGTATTAAATTTTTTCTGCTGGAATATTCAGCCAATTAGCTGAAAATGGAGTTCTAAGGTGGTTATTTTTGCGCACTCACTTTGCCAGAAAAAAAAATAGTATAAGTTTTTCCACTTTAGCAAAATTAAACAATAATTTTTCAGGAAAATTTATATACATACCACGCAATTCTTATGCATACATATCTAACTCCTAAAATTTATAACACTTTGGTATTAGAAAACTATGCATGAAAAGTGGTATTTCACTTTTAAAAAGTCAATGATAGTGATATCTTTTATGTGATGCAAAAGATTTGCGTAGTAATGTTTTTAAACATGAAAGTTTAGGTGTTCGGTATGTAAAAGTATAAGAATTGTGTAGTATGTATGCAAATACACATTTTCTTTAAAGCTACCACACACTAAGGGGACGGTTTGGTAGAAGTTTTTAAGTGGATTTATAAAACCAGAAAAACAGCAAAATGCAGGAGTTCCATAGATTTGCAAATTTTCAGCTTTAGGAAGTCAAATTTTGCCTTCAATTCGGCCTAAATCTGGATTTATCAATTCTAAGGGTTGGGTTGATTTAGGGATTTACTAAATCCAACTAATGTTAAATCCTACTTGCAACAAGCAACCCCTAAAAGTTTACCTTTTAACCACAAAAATTTCTGAAAAATAAAAATGAATGTTTACCTAAACATAAAAATAATTCTTGTCTCAAAATAAAACTGTAATAATTCCCGTAAACAGAAACTTCATCAGTTTTAACAGGCTCGGCAATGAACACATACCCTGATGCATCTTTTTGAAGACGATCAGCACCCCAAGACAACAATTCACGAACGCAATCCAAGGATCCTCCACGAGCAGCCAGGTGAAGTGGGCTACTACCTGGGCAGCTGCAGTAGCTTATCTTTTAAGCTATTGAATAGCAAGGAAATCATACTTTAACATTTAAAAATAAATTATTGAGTAAGTGAAAGTTTTTACCCATATCTGGCCGTTAAAGCACTCACAAGAGCTCCATTGTCCAATAGAATGCGAACACATGATCGATGCCCTTGCCTTGCTGCTAGATGCAAAGGGGTTGCGCCAGTCCCATCGCTCACATTGACGAAACGAGCAAAACCCCTAAGAACAGCAAGTCTAAAAAGTCTATTTATTTTTTTTAACAAAGAACAGTTTCTTGAACTCAAGCAAGACGATTTAAGCTAAATTCAAGGCAATCTACCATGAATTGACTACGGTTGTGGACTGGGCAGCAGATAGAATGGCTTGCAAGCAATCTGGATTGCCGTGATAGGCCGCAAAATGCAAACAAGTTCTTCCTTGTACCGAATCAAACTTCAAAATCTGAACAAAATGGAAACAATTGAAATAATTCAGATCAATCCGCATCGTTCACAAAGCAAGAAACTAAAAAGGAAAACCTAGGAAAAGATACAGCACATTTGCTCCAGCTTCGAGTAACTTTTGTACGCACTCAATCTTTCCGTGCATTGCAGCCAACATCAAAGGAGTCTTAAATAGCAACGCCCAAAAACAGTAAGACAGGTCAGATTAGCGAAAATCGTATAAAAAAGATTAATAATAACAATATCAAACATCTTCACCTGCTTATGCCTGTTTAAGAGATCTGGGTTCACAGATCGACCCAGCAGCATGGAAAGCAACTGCAAGAAAACAGACGCAGCACGAGTGAGAATCGGAAGGCAGGGAAACAGAAAGGAAATTGAGCAATAAATTTAAAAGCTATCGATACCTCGAAATGTCCATTGGAAGCGGCGATGTGGAAAGCCGAGCATCGATCATAGAAAGTGGTTCTGTTGAGAATGGCTGGGTCGATGCTCAGCGATAACTCTACAGTTTCCAGATCCGCGAACTGTACGGCTCTGAAGAAATTGAATTCGGGAGTGTATCTAACGCAGCTCTGGCTCTGACCCATAGTTCTCTTCGCAGGAACCGTCGCCGGCTGGCGCCGGGCTGCCGCCGCTCAAGCGAGCGGCGCTGTTCCGCTGACAGTTGTCTGCCAGGCAGACGGAAGAATCGTGATGACTGAGTGATTTTGAGGAATAATAAAGCAGGCGATTCCGTTTATTGTCACCTGCAGTGAGCTTACCATCCATTTGAAAATTCGGTCATTCGCTTGACTGGCTGACTCCTTCGGGAGTTTGCCATGGGGACCATGTTTAATTTAAATGAAGTCTTCATTATGGGAACCATACAGCTATGATTTGAACTACCGAAACGGTGTATTCATGCGTGCTACCATCAAACTATTGAGAATTTAATAAAAATGAAAATATGAATTGGGTTTTCACGATCAACTTTAATATTTCAGTGAAATTTTGAGATATGAATGAAAGAGATTGATTAATTTGTAAGTAGGAAGTTCTGGGTGGTCTGTATTCATTTGCCCTTTTTGTATCAAGTTGGATAAATTTTTCGATGGATACATACATTAATTTTATATTTAAAAGAACATAATTAAACTTATCATGTCCAAAGTATCAAATAATAAACATTTATTTAAGAGAAAATTGATTTTATGTGCCTCATAATAATAAAAATTTGAGAAATATGCAGGTTTCAAGTACATTTGAAACTTCATTTTGGACTTGAAAAACTATTGCTTTAGCTAAAGAGTGCTTGTTCAATCTGTGATGATTGATATTCATTTAAATAAGGTTCAAACTACATTCAAATAAGATTTTTTACCTAAAATTGAATCATATATCAAAACAGTTCAATATGATTAAAAATATGGATCAAACAATTTTTTTTTTTTATTTTGTAAAATTTAAATAAAGTTCAAATATAGTTCAATATACGGGTAGGTTTGGGGCATCTTATTGCTACACGTGTTTTGAAAACGCTAAAAGCACTGTTTTAAAATGAATGTGCAACAGCTTGTCCTAATAATTTTCTTATGTTAAAATGAATGTGCAACAGCTTGTCCTAATAATTTCTTAAATTCAGATCAAAGTTTAAACCCCGCGGACCACTTTTTTCGCGTGGTTATGACGTCGCTGCCCGGGGTAATTCCTCTTTCGCATCTCTCCTCTACCCTATTTTTCCTCTCTCGCATCTCTGTTCAAAGCCTTCTTTATTTGTTCTCCTTATTCTACATTGTTCTATGGTTATTTCTACCCTCGCTCTTTGGGTGTTAAGCACTTTGGCTTTTGCGATTAGTGGCTTTGAACAGTGTGTGGATTACTTATTCCGAGTTGTGGGTGTATGCTATGAAAAAATAATGAGTTTATGCTTTCAGAAAGGGGCAATGCCTTATTGCATTTATTTTTTTTTGTGAAATTTGGATGTTTGTGGTCATTGCATCTTTGGCCTTTTGGTCTTTGCGGTATTGGCCCATTGGTATTTATAAATTTTGGTTCAATGATGTTTATAGTGATTATGTTTACAGATTGTGTCTTGAAGTATTCAATATAGCACATTACTTCTGGCTTGTTGCTTGAGGTTTGTGGCTTTTCTATGACATTTAGAGGTTGTAGTCTGTGGTATCTTGGTGGCATTGGTGCTTTGTGACCATTATTTAAGTGGGTGGTTATTAGTATGCAGCTTTTTTTTGTGTTGGATGTGTTGTTATTAGTACTTTGCAACCTACATTAATGAGGGTTACTATTGTTAGTTTGTGTTGTTTTTGTTGACAGTGTGTTGGTCTTGACGTTGTGGTGGTGGTGGTGTGTTGCTTTAGATGATGTTGGGGTGGTAATTTGCCGATGTTGATGATGTGCTAGTATTGTGTTGGTGTTGATGATATGATGGTGGTGGTGGTGTTGGTGTAAGATGATGTTGTGGTGGTAGCATGTCGATGTCGATGAAGTGGTGGTGCTGTTGGAGTGTTGGTTGTGATGGTGTGTTGATGGTAGTCTATTGGTTGTGATGATGTGGTGGCGGTGGTGTTTTGGTGATGATGATGCGATTTTGTGTAGATGGTTAATATTCGGTAGTGGTAGTGATGGTGGTGATATGTTAATAGATTTTAGATTTTTCTTTTTTGTTACCATCTTCAGTGGTAGAGATTTAAATAGGACTTTATGTTTTCATGGATAACCTTATGTTCTCCATCACATATTTATATTGCTTAGATCTTTCATGCTAGTACTCGTCATGATTAATACAAAAGCAATCAGCTCGTCTACCATGTGAGATAAAAATGTAAAGCTAATATTTTTTGATCTATTTCTTAAAGAGGTGGAATTGGAAAATAGGCCGACCACGTATTTTAACAAAAAAAAAACGACAGAATATAATAAAAAAATTAAGAAAAGCACAAGAACTGAATATGATAAAATGCAATTAAAAAATAAGTGAGATAAATTAAGGAAATATTGAAAAATATGAGAAAAAGTTAAACCGAGGATCCACGGGCTTGGGTTGGAATCCAATAAAAAGAAACATTGATGTATTATTTTTCTTATAATACATCAGCTTATCAAATTATACATTAATTAATAAGTAGTGCCAACTGTTAAAAATTAAAGTTCGGTGTCATTGACCAAAGCTTAAAGAATAGTTGGATCGTATGTTTGTTGGAGTTGTGGGCACAGGCGATCATGCAGGGTACTAATACACCAAAAAATGTTCAATTTTTCATATATATTTAATGCCTATATTTGGTTATTTTTTGTGAAATTTTACTTTAAAGAAAGGTATTTTTATGTTTTTGATGCATTTATACTCAATTTGGGGATTTGGATTAAAAAGAGGCAAAAAAGATTAAAATTTGGAGCAAAAACGACAAAGAAATGCTCTGGCGCCAAATGGTACCGAACTCGCGCCGAATGATGTAATTACGCATGTATGGAGCACGATCAGTGCCGAATGGCGTCTGTCGATGCCAAAATGGCGTCGAGACAGTTATTTCGCAAAATGCATTGAATTTGCATGAATTTTGAAGGGGTGCTTGAGGAACGCTTGAATTTTCAGCCACACATTATTTAATGACCAGTTTTAACAGAAAAATGGAGCGAAGGAGGAGAAAAGAAAAAAAGAAAAAACAGCAAAACTTGCATACTTAGTTTTTCTTTTGATTAATTTAGAGAAATTCTTATTTACAAAATGTAAGAGGAGAGGAAAAGTGAGAGATTTCTTCTTAATTGCAATCCTTAGACAGGGGCACATATCATTATAAGTAGAAGTTTATGATTAAAAAGAACTTCAAGGGATTTGTTTGTGGAGGATAGTAAGATAAGTTGTTTACTTAAATTTTGTGTTATTTAAATTTGTTTCAATGTATATATATAAATCCTTGTTCTGTTATTTCTTCTCCATTAAGTCTGAGTAGTTGCTTTGTCTTTCCCTTTACAATAATAAGTAGTGATGTGAAGAATCAATAGTTGTTTGAAAATGATCTTAATTTTATAAATTGTGATGATTCATCCTGACATCCTGAACTTCATTTGTTTTTCAAATTGGCTAATTGATTTTTGAAAATCTATGCAAAAACATAAGAACCGAGATGGTCATGGTTTCAGCATTCAAGCAGGGATCACACTTTAATGTCATGTAAGAGTGAAGTCTCCATAGGACTGAGTGCAAGTAAATAGGGAAATATTGTTTAATGGGTGTGGAATTGGTGATTTTGGGGCGACAGATTAAAATCAACAATTTGGTTCAGATGTTTGGAAGTCATATGGTGAGATTATTAGCCTTCAGGTCAGAGAGAAGTGTGATATGTAGAGTCAGAGCCAATATCCTCTCAGCTTAACCATGGATGTGGATTGAAAACATTTGAATTAGTCAATGTCATTTATCGCTGACAAGCGGAATAAAGGATATTATTGCTCTTATTTGTCACATGCAATTAACAATAGATTTGATTTTTCACTGGGTACAACCTTATTGTAAATGGTAAAGATACTTTTCTTAAATTTGAAACCTTTGTTAAAATTACTTTAATTGCCTATAATAGATTTGATTTTTAAGCTTGCAAAATTAGCATAGTAGATTTAGTTTCGTTAGACTTGCATTTCACATTAACATTAGTTATTATATTTATAGCTATTATAGTTTTTTTACTATCTATTTAGGTCCTTTTAGTGAAGTAAAAGTTTAACCTTCTCTCATGTGGGATCGATACTTACGACTCCATTAGAACCCTATAATACTTGAGTGATAGACATACTTGTGTTTAAAACCTAGTAAAAATAAAATATTGGAAAAACATTTTGGGATTAAAAAATTGAATTTATTGGCAAATTAAGCGTAGGGGTTTGAATTTATAGAAAAGTTGCACACAATAGGTTTGCATCAAGTTTTTGGTGCTGTTGGCGGGGAGTAACAGTAAAATTCTAATAAAAAGTTAAAAAAATTTTATTTGAACTATTAAACTTCTTTTGTGTTAGTGTTTTTAAAAAATAAAAAAAAATTAAAATTATATATATTATTTGTGATTTTGTATGCGTAGTTTAAGATTTCAAGGATCACTACCATTTTGATTTTGAATTAGAAAGAACTATAAGGAAACTTTGAGAACAAGAAAAAAAAATATTAATTTGAACAAAATGGAACATAAAAAAAAACCATTAAGAGATTTTGCTAACCCGATAGCAGATGATATTCACATGAGTATTCAAACCTCTACTGTTACAGTAAATTCATTTAAACTTAAACCAACTATCATCCAAATGGTACAAAACAACTAGTTTAGGGGAACACCATCTGAAGATCTTAATTTACAACTTGGAAGTTTTCTAAAACTATGTGTTACATTTAAATATGACGGAGTGTCTGATGATGCTGTCAGACTTAGACTTTTTTGATTCTCATTAAGGGATAAAGCTGAGGTGTAGTTAAATTAGTTAGCACCTAGATCGATCAGATCTTGGAGAGATTTATCTCAAAAATTTATGATAAAATATTTTCCACCATCTAAAACTGCTAAACTTAGAAATGATATTACATCTTTTTGTTAATTTGATGGTGAATCAATTTATGAAGCCTAAGAATAATTTA